TCAGAGCTGAATCTTACCTATGCCCTCAGCCAACGCTACCTGAAGTAAATGGCCACGTAGCCAAGCTCTGACTAAATTCTTCACCAGAAAATTGTGGAACAGACCACAAGGACTTGTCTAACGATATTAAGGCTTAGGGTCTGGTTAGCCAGAACCTGCCCCAGTGGGGCTGGGGAATTGGTTCAGTGGTAAGAGCACTGGCTGTTCTTCCAAAGGACCTGGGTTCAATTCCTAACACCTACGCTGCTGCTCACAACCACCTGTAAGTCCAGGTCCCAAGGAATCCAACAACCTCTTCTGGTCTTCTCTTTGCTCAAAATCTAACTGGCCATGCTTTTCTAGGTGAACGTGTTCTCAATTTCCTGAGCCAGGTTTCCCCGAGTTTTCTGCCACCTCCCAAACTGCTCCTTCCCAGCCACTCTGACTTATTCTGCTTTCAATACTGGCTTGACCTTTTCCTCTTCTCTGCACACACACATTCCTTGGGTGAACACAACCCATCAATTTTCCCTAAGAATCATTTATCTGCTGATGCCTCCCTCCCAAATGCAACTCCCCAGCACAAGGGAGAATTCCAGAGTTACACAGCCAATTGCCTCCTCAGCATGTCCTTTGAAGGCAGAACAGCCATTTGAAATTTAACATGGCCCAGAGTGGAGCCTGCTCCTAATCTGCTGTATTTGTTGATTCCTGTCTAGGTCCATCCAACTCTCCACCAAACACCAAGTCACCTTGACACCTTCTTTTCCCTCATCACATCAATTGGTTTCCCGTGGCAACTGTAAAGAAGTACACAGATTTGGTTGCTTAAAATAACAAGCAATGCTATCCACTCGCAAAAGGAAATTAAATTTTAATACACACTCTAATGTGAGCGGGCCTTGAAAATTTGTGTTTAATGAAATAATTCAGGAACAGAGAACAAATGCATATAATTCCATTTACATGAAGTACTTTAAATTGGCCAATGAAGGAAAAGAAAATACAGTAGAAGCTATTAGGAGCTGGGTAGAAGAGGCAGAGGGAGCTATTGTCTAATGGGTGCAGGGTTTGTTGGAATTGATCCAAGTGCTTTAGGTGTAGTGTTGGTTAGTTTTATGTTAACATAATCTAGAGTCATTTGGGAAGAGGGGCTCAGGTGAGAAAATGCCTCGATAAGATTTGCCACTGGAGAGGGTGCCATGTTCTCTTTGCTAAATACGGTAACACTTACCCCTTCTGGAAGTAAGCAATAAGCATCTCTCAGACTATTCTTCAGCCCACCACACTCAATTCCAAACTATTAACAACTCTTGTTCATTCTAATTGCCAAACACTTCGAGATTATTTGTGTTCTCTTTGCTGTCATCCCTCTCGGGCCAGCAGCAGCATGTTGACCCAGGACGTTCACAACATGTTTTCAATGTACCATAATTCTACCTTTGCTCTTTCCTTCCATCACCATGGCAATCTTTGGCCTTTGAACACCTGATGCATGTCCTGTCCATCTTACTCCCATGATAGCATCCCTGCCCACTTCTCTCTTCACTCACTATCTGCTAGCCACAAAGACCTGTGACTCGGGCACAGAAGGATCTTTCTCACCATCCCATAGAACACAACGCCTGTGACCCTCTACGTGACATAGCTCTATCTCCTCCAGGGCCTCACAAAGTCTTCAGGAAGGCGGGAGCCGCTCTAAGATGACAATCCACATCCTACGTCCCACTTTAAAGTTCTTTGCTTTCTAGTGTATCCCTAGCTGTGGAGAACTCTAGAAATCAATCTATAATACAGCCTGTGTCTTCATCTCATTTCCTATATCTACACACAAAAGAATGGGACACATTTGTGCCTGGCTCCTCGGTTCGGTCTGAGTCTTTTCCATGATGGATTTGTTTCTTAAGTGGTGTGTTTTTCCCTCCCAAGCCTCCCACAGATCCCTGTGTTGAAGTCTCACTGACACTGAGTAGTTAAGCCTGCCTTTTGACTGCCACTCTCTTATTCCTTAAGACCACTTCCTCACTGGCAAGTCGTCAGTGAGTTCACAGAAAGGCCATGAGCTCTTGAAGCCTTTGTGCCGCATACCATTCCATGAGAGCAGGCCCTTTCTGGAGACTTGACAACCTGGTACCGCGCCCTCCCACACTCACCCTCCCGTCCCAGAAGCTTATCTCAGGTGTCAGAGAAGAATGAAGCTTTGCTCTTGGACATTCCAACTCCAGAACTGGAGGGGAAGTCCACAACAGAGTCAGCTGACATCCGGAAAGCCAGGCTGACCCATCGGCTGAGCAGTCAGTCACCTGGCCAGTCCCCATCAGCCAGGCTGCCAGAGCTGTGAACACCGCCAGACAATACCCCCTCGGGAGATCTCTGGGGCAACCTGTATCTGAGGTATATATTCTGACACGCCTGGGAATGGGATGGAACCGCACAGGTCAAAACCCCCGAGCTCTCCCCCATGCTTGGCATTCGGGAGATGAGTGACTGAGCCGTCTGTGCAGGTCAGGTTATCACTCCTACACCAGGGCAGGAGAGACCTAGTGGACTGTGAGCAAATGGCCCGGGAGGATTTATGAGAGTGAGGTCACCCTTTCCCTTACTAAACAGAAACTCACACCTCTGTGACCTCAGCCACACCTTTGTCCTCTCTGGAACTGTTTTCTACCTCCAAAATGAGCAGGGTGCAGGGAGGGCCAGACAAATGAGCAAGCCCTCTCTCAAAGCAATGATCTTTGACCCTGACTTTTACACACCACCAGAGAAAAAGTATAATTACTCGTTGTTCCCCCCCCCACCCCGGGGCCATGTTCTAACCCTCTAATCATGGGATCTTCCAGGAGAAATTCCCCCATCCCAAATCCCTAGAATGTGTTGGAAACCTGGGATTGCAAAATCCTTGATTTAAATTTTGTTAAAAATATTTGATCTATGTGTGTGCCTAAGTGTATGTATGTGCATCTTTTGCCTTTAGGAACCCAGAAAGGTCAGAAGAAAGCAACAGATCCCTTGGAATTGGAGTTATGGTCTTGAGGCATCATACAGACGTGAGGAGCCAAACCCAGGTCCTCTGCAAGAACAGTACGTGCTCTTAACCACTGAGCAAGCTCTCCAGCCCCATGGTGATTCAATTTCTATTTCTACTTCAGTTTCCTCCCCCAATCTCTACCTCTCTTTAGCAATCTCAACACCGGGACCCACTATGATCCCGGCATGCCTTTCCCTGTTCATTTGTCAAGCATTTTCCCCAGGTGCCAGATTCTGCCCCGCACTCTGGAGCTGCCAACGTGGCTAATTCTCAGGACATTCAGTTTTACAGATAGAGGTACTCTATCAGTCATCTCTGGCACGCAGGCTGTACCACCTGGGAATGAGCACCCAGGAAGAGCATTTAATACAACTTAGAGCAAGGAGCTAGAGTAATGCTCTTGGCGTTCACCCATAGCAAGTGGGCCTCCTTGGAGTGACTCCACCCATGCTCAGGGAAAGCCAGGTATGTCTGGGAGCTGTAGCAGCAGTCAGAACCCTGGGGCCAGCAGGATACAGAAGTTGGGAATGAATGCTGTACCTCCTCAACAGTTGATAGACACAGTCCGCCGAGAGCCGCACAACTAAGCCTCTAGTTCTCTCCAGAGGCAGCTCGTTACCGTCAGACTCTCTGTGCTTCCTCAGATCATCTCCCAAATAAGTTCCCTGCACCCGAGTCCTGAGTTAAAGGTCTCCTGAGGGAAACTCCAGGTATAGAGAAGGTTGTTAAGAGACTGAGTCGGTCAAAGGAGAGACACCCCAGTAGGGGAAGAGTTTAGGAGGTGCCACGTCGGGGGAAGGATGTAGTAGGGATTTGAAAATCATGAACTTCTTTGTCCCAAGATTTTGTCACAGAACTCTAGCATCCTTTCTGGTGGAGTAAAACATTTATGCCATCTTTTCCCATGTTTTCAAAATGCTAGAAGAGGAGAAAGGACTGCCAAAGGGTTCTTCAGTATCCATGAGAGATGCCCATGGGTCCCATAGAGTAGTTATCTGCAAGCCTACAATGTTCAAGAAGTCAGCTCATGGACAAAAGGAAATTTTCAACATGGTTTAGCATCTTAAGTGATAGTGATATGGATCTGATAGTGATATAAATATCAAAGAAAGGTTATCTTTAAAAGAAATATAAGAGCTGGGTGGTGGTGGGGCACACCTTTAATCCCAGCACTCAGGAGGCAGAGGCAGGCAGATCTCTGGGAGTTTGAGGCCAGCCTGGTCTACAAGAGCTATTTCCAGGACAGTCAGAGCTACACAGAGAAACTCTGTCTCAAAAAAAAAAAAAAAAAAAAAAAAAACCACACAAAAAAGAAAAGAATGAAGAAAGAGAAAGAAAGAAAAAAGGAATATAGCAACAGCATCAAATACTAGAATCGACTGAAAGATCTCAACACAGTGACACAACGCAGTGCACCCTAATCTGCTCCAGAGCCCAGTCAACCGCGGTTTCGTTATCATGGGATAGTAGTCAGCAACGTGAGAAGATTCAGTGGGAGAACGCTTGTGGACCTGGGTCTAGCGACGGGAAGTATTTAGTGTAAAGTGGTAGGTGGTGACGAGAGGCAGAAAGCACTATACAAGGGCAAGGCTAGCCCAATCCATAAAAATCCTAAACAAACCCATACAGGGACTGACATCCCTGGCACAGAGACCCAACTGGATAGCACCAGAACCTATTCGCTGAAGCAACAGAGCCACCCAGAGGACCCCCACTTAAGCAGCACAATCAGCCTAGGCTAGCCAGCTCTGGCCAGCTGACCCAGCAGGCAGCAAGCAACACAGCAGGTTAAGAGGGCCAACAGGTTAGGTTGGTTAAGAGGGTCTGGTCTGAGCTCCAGGAAAACACACGGTGATGATCTCAGGGCCAAGGGCTCTCCCTCCCCCTCCCCACTAGTGCACAGAGGAGTGTCCCCAGCATGGTTTCTCAACATATTTTACAGTCCTTCCAGGTCTATAAATGCCCTTCCCCCTTGTGTTCTGTCTGAACTTACGTTTAAGTGGGTTCTCCTCTTTCTTATCTGGTGTCTCCAACTGAGCTCATAACTCGCCTGCTGTCTTCAAGGAGCTCATGGCTTGACCAGGGTGGACAGAGCATGTTAGATTTTTGAGGCTTGGATTCTTGGATATGTAACTCTGTTCAAGTTAAAGGTTAAGGATTTCAGGGCTGGGCCCCAGGAATCCAACCTCCGCTCACTTCTCTTTCCCATCTTTCCCTCTGCTCCCACGGTGTAATGCTCCCACCACCTGTTCTCATCACCAGGGCCAGGACCCAGACTCCTGGATGGTTCCCCAGAGCAGACCTCCCCGGACCTGCCTTAGGCAGAGGAGGAATGCTTCTGATCAGCAAGGCCTCCGCTGGCCCTAGACTACAACACACGTCTTTGAGGCACTGCTTGAAGACGACCTCAAAGGAAACCGCCAGGGACCAGTTTGCTAGGTGCCTGGGACTGCTCAGAGCTGCCCAGATAAGCAGTGACAGGAGGGAAGACAGGAAGCTCTGGTCCCCGGGTCTGCAGACAGAGAATTGGAGCTAACAGCCCAGCCCACTCTCACACTTCCTGATAAGCCTGGGCGGGTCGGGGGAAGGGTGCAGGAGCTCAATGGGAGAACAGCACTGTCTGCTCCAAACAGGTGCCCCCCAAAACAAAGCTGCGTCACCTTGTCGTCTGGGAGCACCTGCAGGTTTTGACAAGTGGAATCCAGGACAGGGCAGGAATGTCCTTTCTGCATTTCTGGTCTCTGTAGTTATTGTCACGTCTCAGTATCAAACACAGGTTGTCAGTGAACTGGGTCTCAGAGCAATCACTCGGCTTGCTGGTGTTTGCACACAGCTTGAGCTAGGTCCAGCTTGAAGATTCCTGCAGGGCTGTGGTCACTTCTCTGTGAGTCTCAGCAAGCCACTCTGGGAAACTACCCCTCCCTGAGGAAAGGCAGCTTCTTTCTCTCCCAGCTCACCACTCAGTCTCCAACCATGGGGGGGGGGGGTCACCTGGAAGAGAGAATAAGATTCCTGGGAGGGGACAGTGCTGCCTTGCTGGGCAGCAGCCCTTGCTGCTGGCTCCTTTCCTCAAGCTTGGGAAGAGTGAAGTAAGGAAAGACAGGGGTGGGAAGGATGAAGGATGGGAAGACCTTAGGTGGGGGTGAGGGTGCCAGGTCTATAGAGGGAAAAGCCTGAGGCTAAAAGCAAGAAAAGTCTTGGTGGTGAAGGAGGGGCTTCAGGGCTGGAATATCTCAGGCTCCTCCTGGATGGAGCTGGAGGAGGGGCAGCAGGGAACCAGACATTTTCCCTCTGACATTCAGAGTCACAGTCAGAAGGCACTGGTTCCTGTAAAATTCAAAAGTTCGAGGATCGTGAAGGGTACCACATACCACAGGGACAGCTTCGGGGTAAGTAAGACATACTGCAGGCACCCGCTGCTGGCCTTACGTCCCAGCAATTTTCTCATCACTTCAAATTCCTACCAAGAGGAAGGTCTTTCCCTTGGAGCCTTGGTAGTGACTCAGATGGGTGTTCAGCGGGAAGCCATGGCAAGAGTCTGCAGGAACAGGGGGTATCAGGCAGTGACTTCTTGCCCAGGGCCCCCTTAAAAGCCATTTTGCCATTCCCAAGTCAGCCCTAGCCACCAGAGCTGCTTCGGGCTACTGCGGCCTGGCAGAAGCACAGGTTGCAGGACCAGGAAACACTTGATTCAAGGGTCCAAGTCTTGTAACTGTCTAGGGCTCCTGTCTTTTTCTGCAGGCAGCCCTGAGCTCCCCTCCCAAGAGAGGGACCCCAGAACTCACTTTGGGCAAAGTAGGAAGTAGCTGAGCACTTCTAATGAGAAAAATTGGCCCAGTCTAGGTATGACTAAATCTGTTTTGACTCCCATTTAAATCTCCGCTGAAGTTTAACCCGGGGGGCATTCACAATTAGGGTGCAGCTGCATAACCTGGGGGCGGGGGTTACAGGGGAAAAGAGAACAAACAGCCTTCTCTCAAAAACTCATAGAAGAGGGACAAGGAAGCATGGGAGTTCCTGGAAGAGTCAGGGCAGGCATGGAAAAGCATTGCCAGGGCAAGCAAGTGTGCATGGGTCCTGCACCAGAGATGGAGGGAAAAGCTGGCTTCCACCTGCTCGCTGACAAGTACGAGGTGGGGGTGGGAAGGGGTGGGGTGGGCTTCTCTCTCTCTCTCTCTCTCTCTCTCTCTCTCTCTCTCTCTCTCTCACACACACACACACACACACACACACACACACACACACACACACACACACTACAGGAACACCCAGGGACACACTTTTGCCTGGCGTTCAGGGGCTTCCTCTGAAGTCATGAGCGGTCTTTCCCTAGAGACTCGACATGCAGTGGACGCTGTTGCTGCTGCTGATGGTGCGGAGCCAGGGCCTGGCGGGACTTTCCCAGGACACGATACCCCTCTTCCGACTCACTCAAATGGGACCCTGGGACAACCCCAACAGCCGCGCCACCGACTCGCCCTGCCAGGGGCTCTCCTCCGCGGAAGCCACGAGCCTGACCCTGGCAAACCGGAGCCTGGAGCGCTTGCCCAGCTGCCTGCCACACACGCTGCGCAGCCTCGACGGCAGTCACAACCTGCTACAGGCCTTCGGTGGGCCTGAGTTCAGTCGCCTGCCGGAGCTGCGCATGCTCACCCTGAACCATAACCGCATTTCCACGGTGCACTGGGACCACGGCACGCCGGCCGGTCTCAGCGAGCTCGACCTCAGTCACAATCTACTGGCCATGCTGCCCCCGTGCGCAGGGCCCCCGGTGCGCAACCTGCGCACGCTGATGCTGGCCGGGAACCCACTGCGGGCGCTACAGTCACGGACCTTCGCATGCTTCCCGGAGCTGCGGCTGCTCAACCTCTCCTGCAGCGAGTTGGGGCACATCGCCCACGAGGCATTCGCCCGGGAGGACGGCGGGCCCCTGGCGGCGCTGGAGGTCTTGGACCTGAGCGGCACGCGCCTCGAGCGAGGTGAGTGCGTTGTGAGGGCTACACAGGCACCTCTATGGGGATGGGGGCGGTTGGAAGTCAGGGCTGCATTCTTCCAGAGGTGGCCCCAGAAACCAACCGTGTGGCCCCGAAGTGCCACACAGTCGCAGAGGTGCTAACAATCTCCTGGTTGCATATGAGGAAACTAAGGCACAGAATGGTGGAATGACTTGACCAAAGTCTCACACAGGTCTAGCGGCTAATGTCTCCAAATCCAAACCCAAGCATTCCACCAGCAGATCTCAACACCTTAGCCACTGTTTTCTGGATGGATGGAAGCTGTGGGATGGTGAGGTGGCATTGGAGCTCATGAACACATATAGGAGCTTTGCCCCAAGCGTGCCAAAGAGGAATCCATTAATTCCCCCTCTCAAGTGTTTCTACATGTGTTGGATTCTTCAAACAGGGTGTAGGAGGGAGGTGCCTTTGATTCACGGGCATGCTTTGATTGTTCCTTGAAAACACTTACGTGCCGGGCGGGTGGTGGCACACGCCTTTAATCCCAGCACTCAGGAGGCAGAGGCAGGCGGAATCTCTGTGAGTTCAAGGCCAGCCTGGTCTACAAGAGCTAGTTCCAGGACAGGTACCAAAGCTACAGAGAAACCCTATCTTGAAAAAAAGCAAAACAAAACCAAAAAACACTTTACATGTCTATAACCCCTTGTTCACCACAGTGGTGTGAGGAAGGGTGGCAAGGCTAGAGAGGACGAGAAATTCAAAAATGGGGAATATTCTCCATATATTGGGAGACAACAAAATTGAGTTCCTGGGGTCTCCTCCAACCATGCACCCCTCTCCTTTCTTATGTTCCTCGAGGGCTCTCCACTCTTAGGAGGCATGAGAGCGAAGTCTAGCTATTTTGCGTGTGGAGTTTAACCTGAGGCTGTGACAGCAGCAAGCTTGGATGTCCCCCGTACCTGCTTATAGCTGTGTGGCCTTGGGTCAGCCATGCTTCTCTATGTTTTTGGCTAACTTGTAAGAAAGGATTAGGCCTAGCTGAGAAAGGGCCTTTCCGGTGTTAGTTATACCTGAGACCTCCTCCTGCCTCTCATGTCTTTATTGCTGTCCCCTGGGGTTTTGCCCCTTGCTGTAAGGATAATTCCCTTTGATTCCAGTTGAGTCTGGGTGGATCAGAGACCTGCCACAGCTCAAGTCCCTCTACCTAAGAAAGATGTCCAGGCTAAAGACACTAGAGGGAGACATTTTCAAGAAGACTCCCAACCTGCAACACCTGGATTGCCAAGAATCCGCAGCGCTTACTTCTGTCAACACAGAGATCTTTCAAGACACACCTTGTCTACAAGTCCTTCTGCTGCAGAAGTAAGTGATTCTAAGCCCAGCTCAGTCATAGGACTGATTTTGCCCATTATACTGTATTGAATTTTATATGACATACCAGTCTTTACGGTTTCTGTCACCGCCCTTCCAAATCCTCTCTGGCCTTCTGTTTTCCCCCATTTTCCCTGTGGTATCTTAAGCAGGTGTTTCCCCAGCTTAATAGCCAGCAATGAGGAGATGAGGCTGTTGGGTCTTCTCTCCACCGAAAGCCCCTCCGTTCCCCCAGTGATGCCATTTCAGGCCATCCCAGGGTATGAGTGGGGCTGGGAGGGGAGGAGGCAGAGTAGGAAGGTTTACCATGCAGTAGGATCTGCGCTTGGTCCTCTTCTTCTAGTAACAGCCAATGGCTTGACTTCCCAGAGTAGCAGAGCACTGAAGATGACCCCAGGCCACCTCTAGGCAGTGGGGCCCACAGCTGGGACTTGTCATTTGTCATAGAAGCGTCCTCTTTTCTCCCCTTTGGTAGGGATGGGGATTGGAGGAGCTTCCAGAGCAGTGTCTAGACTCTTCTCTCCTCTGATCAAGTTTACAGGGGACAGTGAGCCCTTGTCTTGAACAGGGTGTAGAGCAAGTCTCTTGGGAATCTGAGCACCTCAGCCAGCCCCTGACTCGGTGCTCTCAGCCTGTATGGTTTCTGTTGACCCTAAGCCTAAAACAGCTCTGTTAGCAATATCTAGTTACTTAACAGTCTGTTCTGTGTCACTGGCCATTTGTAAAGGATTAAAAGTAGCAGCATTGCACCTTAGTTCCGCTTGAGGTTCTGTGTTCCCTGACCCACCTGGGCCTGGCACTTTGCAGGGGACGAAGACCTGCATGAAGATGGGGTCTTAGAGGCGCTACAGGGCTTGCCACATCGTGGATAAAAGGTGGTGCCGTGGCCAGCAATTCCAGGGTAGCCTAGGAGTGTGTCCGTTTAGTTCTCTTTTGCCCAGTGCAGGTGCCAAAGATGGAACTGCTTTTCCTTAAGAGTGAACACTTGTCCTTCATTCAGTAACCAGATACTAAGCACACTTGGTGTGGAGGGAAAACATTTTGTGGCTATGACGCCTTTGAGCTTGATAACAATACAAAAAATTCAAAATAAAAAGAATGAAACACTGGAAAATGATATAAAGCAATACATAAATATAACACTGGTCCTCCCTTTGGGGCTTTTCACATGGAAAAAGCAAATGGGAGGCCTTAAATTCATTTCTGGAGTATAGAAGGTGTCTATAGAATTGGTGAAGGTGTCTATAGAATAGAAGAAGGGGATAGAGAGGTGGTTTAGGGAGAAAGGCGCTGCTATGCAAGCATAAAGACCTGAGTTCCAGTCTCTAGTGCTCCAGGCATGGCGGTGCACATCTGTAAGAGCTGCATACCGGGATGCAGAGACAGGTGTGCCCCCGCAATGCGCTGGCCGGCCTCAGCCAGATGGCAAACTTCGGGTTCAGTGCAGAGACTGTGCCTCAAAAACTAAGGTGGACAGCAATTGAGGATGACATTCTGACAACCTCTGACATCCACAGGCACATCCGTGGATACACATTCCCACGTTCACATTGATAGGCACATCCCCGCCCGATTCTCTCTCACACAAATAATAATACTAACTGGTGGAGAGGATGCTGGTGATGGTAACAGCAATGACGGTAGCCATGATGACTATACGCTAATAGTGGTGGTGAAGCTGCTGATGCTGAAGATGGTGGTCATGAC